AAATGTAAAATAGGCTGTCTGGTTACTTGAAGATACAGACATCCTGTCTCTACAGAACTGGCAGCATACAGTTCCAAAGTTTCACTCAGTAGAAAATGGCAGTCATCAATACAGTTTTAACATATATAAGCAAGGAAAAATAAAAGGTATGAAAAGTAACTAAAGGAAACTAAAGTTCTGAAAAGTAACTAAAGGAAACTAAGGTTATGAAAAGTAACTAAAGCTTATAAAGTAACTAGAGCCTAAAAGATTCAAATCTTACAGTTCGCACCTGTCCATGTCACTGGAACTGTCTTATTGGTGTTGTCATGGTCCTCCTGGGGTGTCCTGTCCAATTGGATCCCAGAGTCCTCCCTGCTGATCGGCTGCTGACTGTCATCATCCTCACTCTCCTCCTCAGACCACTCCTAAAACATAACGGCGACATACTGAGACATATTGAGATCGTGTAGTCAAGGGACTGCTTTGTATGTGCTGGACTGATTACTTTACAGCTCCTGCATATCAGTGGTACAGTACACCCACATAGGTGGTTCAGTTACACCAAATGATTGGACCTTCTCTCAGGTATGTAAAGACTGTGCTTGGCTGATATCACCCTCATTTTACAGTTCATTCTGTTACAACTTCATGACTCCTATTAGAATTTACCCAAAGACATCTATGATGGTGCACAAGGCCTTTGAACAATATTCAGCTGTGGGTATTCTGGTACTCACAGGGGTATCTGGGTATGGGCCAATGTCTATGTCCTCACCATCCATCAGATATTTACCCCAGTCAAAGTTGTCCTCTGGTTCTGCATAAACAAAGTTGAAGAACTAATGATCAACTTAAATGGTAATGTTTTATAAAGAAATTTAACAAGACACAAAGTGAAACTACATCACTAAAACGTCAACTCACCAGCTTCCTTCACCCTGGGTCTCTCAGTAAAAACTGTGTTGGAGGGGGACCCCGATAAGAAGAGCAGCAGTGACAGGATGCTGTAATGTACATCAGTCTGCAAAACACAAAAAACCTGTAGTGCATGCTATGTAGTTTGTCAAATCTATTGTCAGACTGCTGTTATGTAAACATGGGCCATGAAGATAAATATCTATTGGGGACTTGTCTCAATTTCCATTTTAGATCAGTGACTGTCGCTGAGCTTATTGTCAGGCTGTGGCTGTACCATACCTTTGTTCCATCCGTATTAGGTAAAGGTGAGTCCAGGAACTCTTCAGTCAGCCTCATCCAGCTTTCTGCTTTACTCAGGTCTGAGTGTACCATGAGCTTTTCATAGATTCTGGAAAACATGGCAGATTCTGCACTACAGTCTCATACAAAAAACAAAGCCTACAATTAAATATAAGGGGGTGATGGGACATGTTCCATAATGTAGCAGTGGCACCCATTCAGAGTAGTGATTTAGTACAGTACATGTATCATAATGAATCAACACACTCACCTCCACTGTGTGTATCTGGGTACTGAATCCTCTAAACCAAAAATCAACAATGTTCAGCAGCAGAGCACTCCAATTAAAGGATTTACTCACAGATATCTACAAATAGGTGTGCAAATCAGCAGCACTGGATGTTTGCACACTAAGGAAGGACATCTGCATTAAACACCTGTTGTGAATAATCATTCTCTTGAAGCACAGGCTTGCTGATGATTTTTGATTTAGTATAGTTGCACATTTGAAGTCACATGAGCTCACTAGATAACACCTCAAAGAATACTACTGAGAATGACTATTAAAGCATGGATGTAGAAGAAAGGACTTTCATATGCATAATGTTCACAGCAGGACTGTACTTTTGGTTACTAGGTTAGAGCTGTTTGGTCAATGTCTGGGTTTGTTTGGTCCTAGTGAAAAAATATTATGAACTGTAGTTATTTTATTTGTATATATATACACCATGGAATGCTTGACTCATTGCTGTTCCACAAGACAGAAAATGGTACAAAATCCTCCTTAAAGTCTTTAATATATTAGTTAATTGCATGCTTTAGTGGTGGATATTCCCAAACAAAGATATAATTGATCACACAGTCCATATGTGACAGCCATGGCTTGGTCCAATTCTAGGTTTCTGTAAACATGTCTAGGAAAGATTTCCTATATCCTCCACATAAAGAAATGTCTGGATGCCTGTTAGACAAACTTTGTAGGACACCACCATGGTCCCCTCTAACTATACAGTAATTGGTAAGACACTGCACGAGCAACAGTACCACAAATACACTCACCCTCTTATACAGCGTTGGACTTTATGGCTGTCCGCGTCCAGGTAGCGATGAAACCTGTCAACAAACCACACTATCAACAGAATCGTCGTTTGTGGCTTGCTATGATACATGTTAGCAGCTCACAAACTAGCTCCCATACTTGCTACCCATAACCCACCTAAAATTTGACCAGGCAAATTTCAGTGCCAGCTGAAAATTTTGTTCCTCCTCATCCTCCACCCCACTGATACATCGTATCAACCTCTTCGTTTCCTTCTCTGTCTCCTTTTCGAAGGTGCTCCAGTGTGCCATGTTGATGCTAACCGCGCTGCAGTTAGCTTGACCATACAAACTATCTACTTGCCAGGCCTGTTGCTGGCCTGGTGATTCTGTAAGATAAAAGACAGGTACAAACAGGAATATGCTGAAACAGAGTACGTATTACAAAAGCAAAGACAGCTTGAGCTATTTCTCCAGTACCGCGCAACGCTCACCTCCAACAACAAACGAGGGCGTGTGCGCATGTGCGAAACCAAAATTAAAATTAAAACCCGTTTATACGTTTTAATCCTCATTGAAACGCTCATATTTAAAACTTTCAACTTGTGCAACAAAACGGTTTAATGTCTATTGAAAACCATACACTTTTGATCAATATTATTCAAAGGGAGCACTAATTTTTCACAAATTTCCCATAATTCATTGCACTTCATAATGGTTACGATAAGTGGTAGCTGTTACAACTTCTTCCCTTCAATGCTCTTTGGCTTTCTCTATGTAACGGTGCGCCTCCTTGTTCGGTGCCTACGCAGTTTGTGTGTGTTTTACAAAGAAAGAAGAATTAAGTGCGCCTGTTGTAGCGGTTTTCCAACAAATGTTTCACCGAGCTACTTTAAAAAACTGCGTATGTGTGAGCAGGAAAAATAAATAATGTGGTTATTTTGTGTACAATGGGGCGTGGCTAACCCCCACGCTCTCCTTTTCTCACGGACACATAACTTTACTGGCGAGAGGGACAGTCACACAGTGCTCCAGTAAGCGCTGTGCATGGTCTGTACACGACAAGCTAGTTAGCCCCCTTTCGGTAAAAGGAAATGAAGCGGAGGCTGCATAAGAAATACTTGATTGTAATACTGGCATATTCAGGTTTACTTCTACTAATCCCGTACGTGCTGGATTACCGAGATAAATCCATTCAACACGCGAAGCATGGACTGACGCCACAACAGACCAGATGCCCAGATTTGGAGAAGACAGTAGCTCTGCTATGGAATAAGGATGATAAATTCAACAGAAGCGACACGACGGAGTACGCCGTCAACCGAAGCCAGCCTCGGATACACATTTATCTGCATGCCACCTGGAGGACTGGCTCCTCGTTTTTAGGGGAGTTGTTCAACCACATATGGCAGGCTCTGTACCCGGGGGATGCGAGCAGCCTTCAGGGCGCAGTGCGGGACATGATGAACGCCCTGTACCGCTGCGATTTCTCCGTTCTCAAACTTTACGCCGGCTCCGAAAACATCACCACCTCGTTCATATTTGGCTGGAAAATGAATAAAGTGATTTGTTCAGAGCCGCTGTGTGATGCGCACAAGAGACATGAAATTGGGCTGGTGAAAGAGGACCAGTGCACAAAGTGCAAAAAGAGGGACATCAGGGAGCTGGAGAGGGAGTGTAAAAAGTACCCGGTGATGGTGATCAAAGGAGTCCGCATTTTTGAGCTGAGTACGTTGGTTCCCTTGATGAAAGACCCGGCGATAAATCTCCAAATCATTCAGCTCTTCAGAGACCCTAGGGCCGTGCACAACTCGCGGCTAAAATCCAAACAGGCCCTGGTGAGGGAGAGCATCCAGGTGCTGAGGAGCAAGAAGCAGACCGACAAGTACAAGCGGCTGCTGGTGCCGAGCAACAGGGTGAACCGCGCAGAGAGCTACGTCTCCAGCGCCATGGAGATCATCTGTGACAACTGGCTCAGTGACATGCTGCTGGTGATGAACGCGCCCCAATGGGTGAAGAGGAACTACTTCCGCATCCTCTACGAGGACCTGGTCCTGCATCCCTTGCAGGAGCTTCAGAGACTCTACCGCTTCTCCAACCTGTCCTCCCTCCCTGCTTTGGAGCAGTTTGCACTGAATATGACGCACGGACGCGGGTATTCCTCAGACAAGCCCTTCCAGATATCGTCCAGAGATGCAAAAGAGGCTATATATGCCTGGAGAGAGCGGCTCAGTGTGGAGCAGATAAATCAAGTGGAGGCATACTGCAGCGAGGTCATGAGGCAGCTGGGGTATCAGAAACACAGCATGGACAAGACAACATAAGGCTGTACCATGAGGGGTGGATGGGCTAAGGTATGGTCAGATCACTCAGAGGGGGGGGGGTTATTCAAGAGAGGATGAAGGTTTATATTAGCAGAGTGAACAGTGTCCTCTGTGCGTGACTCCTCTTGTTTTTAAACCTACACAGGAAGTAGGTGTTTTAACAGAAACCATCCTGCAGGCTCCAGGTCTGCTGCTGTACTCTGTGGTTGATTCATGACCTCTGACCTCCACCTGAAGGAGGCAAACTGAAAAACAGGGTGACTTGTGGGAGTCACTACTACCACATTGGTATTTAGTTCACACTGCAGGTGTAGAGGAGCATTGATTTGATTCATTTTAAAGTCTCTTTCCACTCAAAAATGTGTTTTGCCTGACATTCAGATGTTTGACCTTTAATGTTGTGATTTATGTGGCCAGTTTGACACTGGAAGAGAACACAGAATTTACAATAAGTTTATATTTCATAAAAAAAAATGTCTGGGTGGGTTTTTCAGCTTATTTCACTTGAATTTAATTTTTCTTGCAAAGTATACAGTCTTTAATGAAATCCACCTGTTAATTATTTTTTTTGTCAGTTTTCTGATTACCAGCATTTAGCTAAGGATAGATCAATACGGTTTATTTGGTGGCTCAAGGGACAAGGCAAGGCAGCTTTATATA